GGTTTAGGGCTTGGGGGGGGGGGGGGTACCTTATTTGGGATCCTTATAAGCACATTAGATGTGATCATCGCCAAGTTCCAGTGATTGAAACAGCACCTGTCTGTTCTTTCTGTCTCACATTCGTCGCCTTCGACCTTGTGTCCGTTTCCCTTATAATTAGGATCCTCTATTTAGGGTACTATGTTAGGGTCCCCTATTTTCGGAAACCCCAAGAAAACATTAGGGTTTAGGGTAAAGGGTTGAGGTTAGGGTTTAGGGTAGGGCTTATAGGGTTTAGGGTAGGGTTTAGAATTCGGGTTTCAGGTTAAGCAAATCTCCTCAAAAGTTAAAGGCTTGAGTATAGGGACCTTATGTATGTCCCTTTCAGCATTGTGGTCTAAATAGATGGGGCCGATAGGGGCCGCATTGTGAATGGCTGTTCCGACCCACTAAAGAGCGACTGTGGGCCCAGGGACCCTGACACCGTCAAGGCCTGACCTCCAGACACCTAAACAATAGGCTACTAACCATATCATATACCATGGACCCTAAATAAGCTACCTGTTCAAGGACCTATAATATAAGGAAATCATAACAAGGAACCCGTAAAAACTTTGAAGGTAGGTTCTTTAGAGTCCAGGTATAAACCTAGGTACCTGGAGCCTGGAGCCCTAGGGATGTTCGTTCATAGGGCTCGAAAACAGAAAACAAGCCTGGAATAGCAGGGTCTTGACCCAAAGGCCTTTCCCCTAAACCCTTTTTTGAACCCAGACTCTGCCAATAAACCCTAAACCCTAAACCCTAAACCGCAAAAATGGGTGCTTTAAATCCTGGACTCCCCCGCGGTGCCGGCCGGGCGGGCCGGACGCGGGGGAGTCCAGGGTTTCGCGTATTTTGGGCCTTCAGTGAACCGAAATCCAGGACTCCCCCAGGGTTTCGCGCCTTTGGGCCTTAAGCCAGCCCTTGCTTCTTGGTGCTCTGTCTCTGGGCAAGGCTTGCGCGGATGGTTTGTTTGTTTTTGGCGCGCGGACAAAGGATTTTGTGGCCGGCAGTGCACGCGAAATTGTGCGCGGATTATGTTTGAGGGAGATAGAATCTTAGGAACATCCGCGACAAAATCCGCGAGAAAATTCGCAAGCAACTCCGCGAGACAACTCGGCAGGGCCATGCAAAGAAATCCGCGCAAAAATCGTTGCCCAGATAAAACAAAACCCGGCAAAAGCCCTAATGCTTCCAACACAAACCCTCAACCGTAAACCCTAACAGCCTTAGTCCCTTAACCCTAAAGCAAACAACCTCAACCAAGAAGCCTGCAGACACTAAGCCGTAAACCCTACACCCTACACCCTGAGGCCCAGGTGCCACTTATCCCAGGCATCTCTGCGCTGGTCGTTGACCCGTGAAGCGTCGCGCACGGCCTCCAAGGCTGCAGCTGGCGTTGCGTCGGGCTGCTGCAAAGGTGAGAGGTTCACCTCGTCGGAACAGGGTAATTTAGTGTTCAGAGTTTAGGGTTTAGGGTAATTCACCCTCAAGGCACACTCGGGCTTCGGATGTAGGCGCTGAGGCCTTCAGGAGCACCTGAATCTCAAATACCCTGAACAGCGAGCTTCTACACTGCGATCTAGGGTTTAGGAGGGAGTCTAGGGTTTCTACACCATATCATTAACACTTCAATCCGAAGCCCGAATCCCCCAAAACCTGAAGTTGCACCCCAAACTCTCAAGCCTCAGGGGCTCCCGACCCCCGAACTTCCAACCACCCAGCACATGAAGGCCGAAACCTCTTGGGTTTTGTTGTTGAATGTGCAATAGCCCTTTCTCCGCGACGAAGGTCTGTGGCCGGCTCTTAGGGCTAATAAGGATAAGGGTTTAGGGTCTACTCCAAAACAGCAGAAGCCAAGAGAAAAGTCCCTGAAACGCCAACTTCCAGCCCAAGGTTGGTCATCCCCCCCCCCCCTCGCCCCGGCACCCCCCCAAAACCCCATGGTCATCAAGGCACGTGTTAGCCTAACCCCAAACCCTAGACTCTAAATCCACATTGTTCCAACTTTTTATGGAGGCCTTTCAGGAACCCTAAGCCCCAACCCACAAAAAGCCCCACACCCAAGAGCCCAAAGAGCTCCCAAACGAGGCAACTCCGACCCACAAAACAAACCCAGAAGGTCAGCGCCTAATTCACACCTCTTTGATTCTATAATTATAGGGTTTTTATAGGGTTTAGGGTGTATAGGGTTCAGGATCTATAGGAATTTCGGAGGTTTGGCTGTAGGGCTTAGAGGAGCTTGGCTTCCAGGGGCTGAGAGGCTGAGGCTTGGAGTTTGTGTGGACCCCCAAACCACCCTGAAGCCCCACTCCAAGTCGCAAACTCTGCAACCTTCGTCCCTGAACCCTAAACCCTAAAACCGTAGAAACCCTAAACAGCTAAACACTAAAAGAATAGAAATCCTACACACCGAGCCCTTGCGACCTTGAAAGAAAGACTCTAGAACAAGCTCAGCAACCCCATGCTGCGGCACGGACTTCACGATCCTTGACAGCTTCGGGCTGACATCTGGAGGTTTTCTGGGGCTTAGAAATTAGGCTGTCAAGTGAGCTCTGTACCCATAGGCTCCCAGTAGTTCCTTTTTGGGATTACCTTATAGGATTCTAAATATAAACCACAAAAAAGAACTATTTAGGAGCCTATGGGTAAAGTTGCAGAGCCCCACGTGCTTTCAGGTTTTACGGCTTCGGCCCGGGTCTTCGAGATCTGCGCGCTGATCACTTGGTAGAGCCCAGGCTTCGTGCTTCGCCGATTTTAGTTCGCGAGACTTGACCATTGGGATGCTTCAGTTAATGTGCCTGAATAATTAAAAAAGGGTTTTGGGCTCCTTTATAGTATTATTGTAATAAGGAACCCTAACAGTAATATAGGTAATGATTGAGGCTTCTATAGCAGGGTTTAGGTTACGGCTTCAGATCATGGCTCCACTTTGCGACTTTCTTTCTCAGGATGTGTGGCTGCTCTGCGCTGGGAGACTAAAACACAAGTACCGAGGACGGAACTCTGGGGGTTAGGGTCTAGGGGTTTAGG